CTCACAATGCAACAATCATTTGCATCAGAGGCTCAAATCAATATCTCTCACCTCTAGGGGGTTCTTGAGAGATGAGTTCCTTTGTGCCAAGAGGTTAGGCTATGGGGGCTGGGCAGAAAAACTAGGCCCTGTCCTGTCCACCAGTCTTTATCGTTTAGCTCCTTGAACCTCTGCTGATTTTGTGAGGGGGTGGTGAGGCTTTTTTACCGCATCCTTCTGTCTGTCTCTTACTACTTCTCTTTTATTTGTATTCTTCTAGGACAGGCAGATTTATGACTCCATATGGATGACCTAGAAATCTATGACTTTGTGCAGGGCTTTATGCTCACAGCTTCATACTCAATGTTAACTAAAGTTGTGGAAGCTGGTTTTGACATATTGTAAGTGTATTTGCTGTCACACACCAGCCTGCATCTATGATGTTTATTTTCACTAGATGGTGCTCGTGTACTTAAACTATTTTTTTTCAGTAACTTCTAATTTTATAATTTTATATTTTTATTGTTTCATAACGCTTATTGTGATTTCTGCACTCAACTGTTGTTTATTTGAACAAGATGTATTCTTTCTAAGGTTATATTTTATCTTATTCTTTTTCCTGGTTTATCATCCACATGAAGAGATAGAACAATGTTATAAAATTTTAGTTTTAATAGGTTTTAGGTTTAAGTCATCCGATCAAGAAATCCCAAGAAATCAACCCCCCTCTTAGCTCACAAGCAGGCAAAAGTGGAATCTGGAAGTATTTTCTGTTTATTTAAGAGTTTAAAGATATGTGTTTTCCATGTAACTGAATGTGTGACTGATGTTTGTTTTATATTCGTCCTTTTTATTAACCACGGTGTTGGTGTACGGTGTTGGTGTTCATGTCGATGAGTGCATTAAACATCTGTGAGAAAAGAACCTCAGCCTTCGCGGCATAGTGAATCCCTTCAGGATCATTATAGTCTAAAAGTACATGATATGGTTTAAAAGTATGGCATTGTGCTATGCCAAGGTCATGGGTTTGATTCCCAATGCATTAACTAATCAAATGTTTAGACTGAATTATATAAATTGCTCTGAATAAAAGTATAAATGCAAAATTATAGCCTAGAATATAAACTTATTGGAAATCTATTTTCTCCTGTCTTATCAATGTAGATCACATCAAGAGCATTTCAGTGGAAACAGAACTGTAGGGCACTGGACTGTTAATACACACAAACACCCTCCATTTGTAACCATAAAACACTCAACAGTCTGTTTCCTCTGTGTCTTGAGGGACCGAAAAACCTTTTGAGCTCTATTTGCTGTTTACCACAAGTAGCCTAGATTGAAAAACAAATGCATAACAATTAATAATTTTACTCCTTTACTTATTGTACGTCTGAATAATTGAAGATTACTGAACAGTGAACACAAAAGAAGAAATTGTGAAAAATGTTTTTCTCCATGTTTTTTTGGTCCACACAATGAAAAGTCAGTGGTGTCTAACATTGTTTTAGACTATTAGACATATAGACTATTGACTTTCACTGTATAGACAGAAAGAGTTGAAACATTCTTGAAAATATCTTCTCTGTTCCGCAAAAAAAACGAAATGGTTTGGAACGACATGATGGTAAGTAAGTGATTTTCAATTTTGGGTGAACTGTCCCTTTAAGCAGGCTTTGGGGTTTATACAGGTGTAGCATTTCCTATTTACCAACATTTAATAAACTAATGGCATTGGCCTGTTTTCAAATGCCCAAATTCTAATTATCTTGATCTTTATGCTGCATTTAACAAGATAATCAATAAATTGATGAGTCCTAAAATCAATTCTGACTTTGTGAATAGGAAAAATTACACACCAACTGTGTGCTAACTATGTGCACTTCCGTTACTGTAGAAAAAAAAAAAAACACCACAGCTATGCTTAACACACAAAAGTGGATAATTACAGCAATAATAACAATTACAAAGCTCTTACTAGGATATATGGGAACAATAAAAAAAAAAAAAAAAAAAAAAAATTCTTAAAAAAAAAGGTGTGTACAGTATATGGTGGAGGCGTCACCTGTCCTCTAAATTTCCTTTCTCTTGCACATTTAGAAAATCTGGTTTTCAAGTAAATTCTAGGAGGAAAACTCTCAAAGGATTTGAGCTGGGAGCCCAAAGGCAAATGGTGCAGTGTGGTCTTTTATATTCTGTTTAATATTCATCAAAATAAAGGAGGGACCGAGACAGATAAAGAGAAAAAAAGACCAAATACAGCAAGTCAATCCTCAAGATAAAATATCACCTCCAGCACTAGTGCCCTTCACAAGACTATCAGCCGCAGACAGACTCTATTATAAACAGCACAGATGCTTTGAACAGAGAGATATAGAGAGATCAAGAGCGATAGAGATACTATTTGAAAGGCAAGAACCCAAACAGATGTGCTTTATTGATCATATCATGAACCCTAAAAGATAAATTTGAATGGCAAGTTCTTTACTCAAAGCTTTCCTAAATAAACAAGAAAATGCATTTTTTATTTTTCTGAAATTAAATCTGAATAGATCAAATACATTTACCACATTGCAAAAAACTAACAGATCCTGCAAAGTTCTAGTAATTCCAAACGAATTGATACAATGAAGGTGATTTTTTTCAAACTGACCCCAATTTTTGTCTGGCTTGGAAAGACAAGCTCTATCATGATTTGCATGATAGAATTAATTAAAGAGAAGCCCACGGGGCAGACTACAGTAGCCAGATCTAGGGGGAGCTGCCATGAAAAAATGCAATTACTGACATCATTTCATGACAGTTATTCACTGCAAATGACTCACTGCTGTCAGTAAATAACCATACATGTCTGAGAGATAAGCATTCATATTGTCAAGCTTAACAAAGACCCATTAGTCATAGTCATTGCTTTACTTCAGAGGAATTTAGGGGTCATTAGGGTAACAAAATAACATGGGAATGCCTAGGTGCATTAGAATGCCGATATCCGATATGCCGATTTTTTCCAACTCATTTTGGCAAATAGCCAATGCCATATATTTTCCTTTTGTTTGGAAACATCACCAAGTCTCTCCTGTGCAGAGTTCATAAACAAATAATTTTTAATTTCGGTTAGTTTTGAGCAAATACGTAGGCTACTTGTTAGAACTAAAACATTATTAAAGTTATTTTTATAATGAGAGTAGGCTACATTGAAAGCTTTGAAACTAACAATAATAAAATCAATATTTTTTTGTTATTACATGTCATATTATCGGCAAAGCATATCGGCATAATTTTTCATTTCAGGCTGATGTTCTACATTTTAAGCCTTTATCGGCTAATTCCGATGATGTGCCGATAAATATCGTTCCCTAGACGGCTCCAAATAACATCAACTAATATTTCTATGTGAATTCTATTTCTATTTCAGAAGACAAATTTGTATTTGAGCTAGTTTTTTTTATAAAGCACTGAAAACACTAATGAAGACAACCTAAACAAAGGTCAAAAGGTCAGGCTTAACTGCTTCAATGGTGGTCATGATTGCTGTACAAGTTCCTATAAGCAACATACTATTATTTAAAAGTTTGAGGTCAATAAGAATTTTTTTAAAAAGAGATGAATACTTTAATTCTGCAAGAATGCATTAAATTGATCAAAATGATCAGTAAAGACTTGTTATAGAGTGTTAAACCGTGTTTATATTAAGATTTAAATTTCAAATAAATGCTGTTTTTGAACGCCTTATTCTATACAAAAATATTAAGCATCACAACCGTTTCCAACATTGACATTAATTTTTTTTTTTCTTGAGCACCAAATCAGCTTTGCCACCACAAAGATAAATTACATTTTAAAATATATTCAATAATGTTTATGCAATAATTGTAATAATATTTAAAAATATTATTGTGTTATTACTGTATTTTTGATCAAATAAATACAGCCTTGGTTAGTAAAATAGACTTCTTTCAAAAACATTAAACAATCTTCCTGACCCCAAACTTTTGAACGGTAGTGTAGTTAATACAACAAATCACATAGTATCAATATGACATATTATGAGCTACTTTCAGATTTAACAATTGAACATGTTGTATCCCTACCCCTCTTTGTCATCAGTCACACTGACAATCTGTAATGGTTAGTCACACTGTCCCTGGATCACTGCAGCTGGTGCAGCAGTCAGAAAGTATCTTGTTCCATCTTTTTTTGTCTCAGTTTTCCTCTGTCTCTCTCCTTTCATCTCTATCTCTTCATCATTCCACCTCTCTAAAAGAGCCCATTTGTCCCAGATACATTACAGTGTGGTCAGTTCAGTTGAATACAGCAATGGGTGTCCACTCTAGATGGTTACTGTTTACTACATTTGCCTAATTTTTCTTATCATTAAGGATGTAAGAAACCCCCAAAATTAAGTAAAGCATGGACTGAGAGCGAATATGATGTTTCAAAAATAGTTTTAAGAGTATTATAACAATAAAAGTGCATACAAATGATTCATAAGAAGCTTCACACATGGCATCACACTAAACAAGCCAACAACTTGCTTAGTTCTGAGATTTATACATACAAATATACAGATGATAAAATTTCACTTATACTGTAGGCCTATATGGAGTAAACATCAGAGAGATATGGGACAACGCACAGCAAACCTTCCTGACACACCAACGATTCTTCATAAACCTGTGACACCAGAATCAATCATTGCTTGAGCAAGTCTAAATTTACCTGCAGCACTGATTTTGTGTGGGTTTTTTTTTTTGAGGAATAAATAAATACTCAATTTCTTTCAACAATATTTCAAAATATACTTACAAAACAGTACCATGAAAATTATATGGTATGGTTAGTGAAAGAGTGGTTAAAATAGCCTAAATGTCAAATATGATCAGAGATAATAGAAAAAATTATACTTATATATATGTGTGTGTGTGTGTGTGTGTGTGTGTGTGTGTGTGTGCATTTACAGACATTTGTTCCAGACATATACACTCATATACGTTTATATCAGCTCATCGAAGCTATATGTTTACCTCCTGTAGCTGCTCCAACTCCTGTTTGAGAGCCTCCTGCTCGGTCTCGAGCTCCCCGTACTGCTGCTTGAGCGTCTGGTTCTCCTCCAACACCACCAGACCGCATTCCGCAGCCCGGATCTTCTCCCGGTTTGCATCAGCGAGCTCACGGGTCAGCCTTTCCACCTCGGCCCGGTACTGATCCACTGATTCCCCGCATCCTCCCCCGGCTGCCATCGCCTCCGGACGGGTGTGATCTCTGCGTCCCTCACGCGCTCTCGGAGAGACGGAGGCTGATGAGGAGATTCAGGTGAATGCTGCAGTCTGTCCGTCCCGATGCACCTCCTGTTTGCTGATGATTAAATGATGTTTAAACGAGTGTCATGGGCTGGACTCGATTGCTTCATTGTAAACATTGCTGTGATAAACTGCTTTACAGTTCCATCCATCAAAAATATTTTTTCCCCCCGGTTTTAACTTAAAATATCATGAGGAAAACCGGCGCCATCAACACGGAATGCAAAGTGGGCAGAAGTTCTTAACCCGTGACGTCACTCCCTCCCCCTCTTCCCTCATCGTTTATGTTATAGTATCATTAGTAGATATTGTTAGTGGTAGGCATATACATAGTTCAGTTGAAGAGAGTGCAATGAAAATATAATGATTTAAATCATATGTAAATTATAATAATTCATTATAATAGGCCTATTCAACACATACATTTAGCCTATTATCCTCAAAATAAATGTGAAAATTTCAGAGATTTTCAGCAACTTAAATCTGCAAATTCCCATGTTTAGGGCTAACCTTAATAAAATGCTATTGTGGTTGAAAACAAGAATCTTATTAAATGCTACTCAGCCACCTGCTGGAAAAGAACGTACGTTACATGCTTAACCCTTGAATTGTGTTTGGGTCTGGGACCCTTTTATCAAAAGAAAAATGACACGATTAATTATTTTTTCAAACTCAGACTCATTGGCCTTGGCTCATTTTCTGTGAAGAACAGAACACATTTTCAATGACCACACAAAGTAGCCTACCCAAAGTACAATTTGATTGGCTTTCTTGACTTCCTTGACTTATAATCATTAACTACAGGATGGCCCTATAAAAACAGTGAGACTGAGAGGTTCGTTTCATCTGAGGAATGTCCGTTAAGGTAAGTAGACGGCATGTCTTAACATTATCTAATGGTCTAATGAAAGAAATGTTATGTTCACAAGAGCCCACTGGGCATTCAATGGGTTGATCTGATGAGAGAATGATTGGATGATTAGGTTTGTCCTGTCACTATCTAAGATAAATCTACAAAATGAGAGACATGTGATACGTAGTATTTGGGAAGTCTTGCATTGGTCTGGTTTTGAGAGCTTTACAGGAATGTAAAACCCTTATTCTCTGCAGTACATCCAATAAATTATATAAGAAAGAAAAGGGATAATATTCATGGTTTACTTCAAAAATTTTTCTCATGCTAGGTTTATTTTTGAAAGTCAGGTTTTTATAGGCACATGTAGTCAAGTCTTTAATTTTACTAAAATGCACAACAGTATTTCTAGATAATATATAGTACTTTAGCACATGAACAAAAAACATCCAAAGTATATAATATTTGATATTTTTCAAAAGTTCAACATTATTTGCTGAAACTGTTTCCCTGCAAGATTGTCTCTGCCAGATGCTTCTATCCTTCTTATTATAGCAATTTTGTGATCATTTTACTAATTTTATTTTAAAACCTGTGATACTGGCAGTATTCCTGCAATGGCAGGTTCCCAATTTACCCCGGATGGCATGACAACCTGTGAACGCCATCCGGGGTAAATTGGGAACCTGCCATTCATTGTTCATTATTTTTTGTTCATGTGCTAAAGTACTATATATATATTATAGAAATACTGTTGTGCATTTTAGTCTTGATTTTCCCATTAGCCTATACTGCATCAAGTAAAATTTATAATATTTTTACGATATATATATATATATATATATATATTAGGGGTGGAACGGTACACAGAACAGAAGTCACGGTTCGGTTCATACCTCGGTTCAGACATCACGGTTCGGTACGATTTCGGTACAATGAGGTGAATAGCAAAACAAAAATGCAGAAGGCTTTTTTATAAATGTCTTAAGCCTTGTATTTTTTATATACGTTTTATTAATAAAGGCATAGAACCAGTTTATTTGTAGTGCACCGACAGTAGTTTTATATAATTAGTTTATTAATTAAATTATTAAAAAGACGAAAAGACCATGAGATATGTTTGGTAATTGTACCTGAATGAATTTAAAATTAATTTGCTATTTCAGATCAATATATTTGTTTTCCTTCATTTTAATTAACCCTAACTTTATTCTCATCTAAATGATAAATAATTGATTTCCGTATAAAATAATACTACCATTAAAAACTTTTGTTAACAGTTGTAGGTTACAGTTTGACATGAGTTTAGAGTGTGACAAAAGCACAATGTTGTGTTTTATTGCGAGTGTACACAAATATAAGTAAAGAATTTGCCGTTTTAATGATGTCCTGTATGAAAAAAATGACGGAGTATGTTTTTATGTTTCCACTGTTCGATCGCCCGTGCCTCTCTCACACACACACTATCGCGATTCGCGCCCGCGCCTCTCTCTCTCTCTCTCTCTCTCTCTCTCTCTCTCTCTCTCTCTCTCTCTCTCTCTCTCTCTCTCGCACACACACACACACACACACACACTGTTCGATCGCGCGATTCGCACCCGCGCCTCTCTCTGTCTCTCTCTCTCGCACACACACACACACACACACACACACTTCAGCATTGCAATCTTGATCGCAGCCTGTTCATTGCTGCGTTCACAGTCACACCAAAAGCGAATAGAGCGAAATTTATCGCTAAGAGGTTTTTTTTATTTGTAGCGTGTATTCTCCGTGCAAATTCGTGCACCGAACCGTGACGCCCGTACCGTTTCGGTTCAATACGAATACATGTACCGTTCCACCCCTAATATATATATATATATAATTAATTAGTTTATATTTTTGAATAATTGTTTTCAGTTTTAGTTTATTTTAATACTTGGTTATTATAATAGGTGTGAAATGTTGCTCTGGCAACTAGTTTTTTATATATATTTTATTTTATTTCAGTCAACGTTTATTTTACTTCAAGTAACAAAAATGTAATGGTTTTAGTTTTAGTTAACTATAATCACCCCACACCAAGTTACAATGTAAACCTAGCAATCATTCAGCAACATAAAAAGACCCTTGCCCTGAGAGAAGTATTACATTATTCTTAGTCTTTTGCTTTTGATTGAAAGAAAGACTTCCACGATGGATTGCATGGCGATTAACATGCATCCAAATGCATTGGCCCATGCACACATTTGTGTGTGTGTGTGTCAGTGTGTAAGTGTGTATTCTTAAGCCAGAAAGAGCTCTGCAACACGTGGCTCTGGTCAGCTGCCTGCAAGTTGTGGTGTAATTGAGTTCACATGAGCAGCTGATGGGTCCCATAGCATTTACAATCAACTACAGCATCCCATATCAAGTCCCGTGTCTCTGCCGCCCTTCTTCCCTCCTTCCCTCTTTCCCTCTTTTCTTATCTCTCGTCTCTTCTTTATTATGCTGCCCTTAACTAGCTCTTGCCCTCTCTCTTATTAGAATTTCCGTTGAGAATTCTACACTGCCTCCTGTCTCCACACTCATGGCTCCAGAGAAGACCAGAGATGGGCTGGACAACTATGCATTTACTGTAAGTAACCTCCATTAATAGACAGAAATTTGGTGTAGAATTACTTGATTATTTCTTAAATTAGTCTTAGAGGTTCTAGAAATGGACAGATTGAATCCAGGGACATTGAAGTTTGAATGTACTATTCATGGGTGTCAAACAAAGTCTTGTTTTCATTGCGTAATTCTAAAAGTTGCACCAGACTGCAGTCAGGTTATAATCAGAACTTGTTTTGGTATATACAAGAACTTTCAGCATACTGCTGCATATTTCTAAAGAATTTTACATGGACGCTCTGAGGATGGAAATCACACTAGAATTGCTCTCTTTATAATTGGTTGAATATGAACAATAAAACAATAAAAAAATAAAAATAAAAAAAAGGTTATAATCAGTTGTATAAGTTGTGCAGATGTACAAACACTAAAAAGCTATGGTGTGTGATCATTTCTTTTTATGACCGAAGATTCTAATCACTCGAGATGATTCAAACATTACTCATGTGTTTGTTATTGTGTAACTGAAGCAATGTGCGTGTATCATTCAGAGCCCATTTCTCTTTTGATATATAAAGTTATTATTTAGCATAAAACACCAATTTCTTTGACATTGCAGCCATTTTCATTATAAAAAAAACAACAATACGAAAGTAAGAGACCAGTCACTCTGGAGCGAGGTGCGTTGGTTTTTACTCACAAATCCAAATGAGTGGAAGTGAAAAAAATATTTACACATGCCATGTGAAATTGACTGAATTAGGAAAGGTTGTTGATTGAAATCTGCTCGGACAGAAACTGTTTAATCTCTCTTGACTTTAGGTTGATGGTGTAGACCGTTTCTGTGAGTTACCGGGAAATAAGAACGGAAGAGGTAGTTTTTCAGAGGAGAGAGACAGTAACAAGCTAGCATATTGTGTCACAGATGTTCCACCATGGTATCTTTGCATCTTTTTGGGGATTCAGGTAAGCACACATCTTCCTCTGAACATTGATTTAGCTTACATCAATGGACTCATGTCAATTAATCCAAATTGATCAATCTCAATTGGATTATATGCACTATGAACAGCACAGTATTTGTCAGTAAATATGTACAGTTCCAATTTACAGTTTGGTCCAAAAATCGAAAACCAGATTGGCAATCTATCCCAATAGATTATGCCAATCTATGCCTTTAAATGTTGAAATTAACCAGATTAATAAATACGGTAGAAGTATTGTTCATTCTTAGTTCATGTTATCTAAAGTAGTTAACTAATGAAACCTTATTTTAAAGTGTTAGAAAGATTTTGGTTTTTGAGATTTTATTTTACCCAAACTTTATGACACAAAATGAATAAGACATCATGAACCCTGTAAAGCCTGACATATGAAATAATAATCAGAATAATCCATTCTTAAGGAACAGTTTAGTGAGACAAAATATAAATAGAAAATCTATAAAAAAAATTGATATCATATTTGGTACATCAGACTTTTATGGCCTATAGTGAGAAAGTAAAAAAATACTATTCAGAGGCCCAAAACTTGTTATTTATAAGGCCAAAATCTAAGCTTAAATTCTGATTCATGTATTAAATAAGATGCAGTTGGCTTGACAGGGTTAAAATTCTACACTAATTTTTAATTAAATAAGCCAATTTGTGACATTGATCATGAGAAGTCATTCTCAAATCATGCAGGAGAACACTATCATGTTTTACACAAACTTGTAGAGTTGTGCTGCTGACATTAAAGGACAAGGGGAGCAAAACAATTTTTTTTTTTTTTTAATACATATATGATGATGATGATTATATAAACATGTTG